CGTGAGAATTTGAATGCCGTTTCCAATGTCCCAGGAGTGTTGTTACATGGTCAGGCTGGGAAGGCGACTCATATGAAGAAATTAACAGCACTTTTGAAAAAGATTCTTTTTTATCTTATTTTATCTACTTTGTTTTTTCAGTCCAGTTTGCATTCAATATCATTTGTGTTAGTGTCAGGTGTACAGCATGGTGGTTACACAGGCTTATACTTTACAAAGTGTTTCCCCTGATATTTCTGGTACCCGCCCGGCACCAGGTGTCATTGTGACAATATTACTGACTGCCTTCCCTGTGCCACACTTCACGTCCTGTGAGTATTCTGTAGGCTGCAATCTGTGCTTCCCAGTCTCTTTACCAATCCAGCCAGTCCCCAAGCCCCCTGCCCTCCAGCCACCCTCACTCTGTTCTGTCTCTATGAGACTGTTTCAACTTGGTTTGTTCATTCATTCTGGTCTTTAGATTCTACATATAAGAGAAATCATATACATTATGGCTTTCTCTGTCTGGTTTATTTCTTTTTTTAAAAGATTTTATTTATGTATTTTTAGAGAGGGAAGGGGGGGGGGAGAGAGAGAGAGAGACACATCAATGTGCAGTTGCTGGGGGCCGTGCCTGCAACCCAGGCATGTACCCTGACTGGGAATCGAACCTGCGACATTTCAGTTTGCAGCCCGCACTCAGTCCACTGAGCTACGCCAGCCAGGGGTTCTGTCTGGTTTATTTCACTCAGCATAATGCCCTCTAGGTCCATCCATGCTGTCACAAATGGTAGGATTTCATTTTTTTTATGGCTGAGTAATATCTCGTTGTATGTATGTACCCCTTCTTTATCCAGTTCTGTATTTAATGAACAGTTGGGTTGCTTCCACATCTTGGCTATTGTCAATAACGCTGCAATGAACATAGGGCTGCATGTATTTCTTTCAAATCAGCATCTTGGATTTCTTCAGAGGTATTCTCAGACTATATCCGGGATTGCTGGTTCATAAGGCAGCTCCGTGTTTCATCGTTTGAGGGAACTCCGCACTGTTTTCCCCGGGTGGCTGCACCAGCCCGTCCACCGACCGATGAAGGGACAGACAAGTTGGGGGAGAGTTACACAACACCACGCCGCTCGGCAGCGGAGAGAAGCAGGCCATCAATCTGCAGCAACACGCAGAGAATGGCAGGAACATTATGCTAAAGGCACGAAGCCAGACAGAAACTGAGATCTACGGCGGAATTCCACTGGTACGCAATGTCAGGACAGGCACGGGGTCTCCAGCGAGGGAGCCTAGGTCCGGGCTGGCCTGGAACCGGGAGCCCGGCCCGCGGCGGGGTGAGCGATGGCCCGGACGCCGGTTCCCGCGTTTGTCACGACTCATCTGATCCTGCATTTCGTATCTCACTCCATGGGTTCTATGTCCAGTTGACTGTGATTTTTAAAGAGCTTCAAAATAGAGCGTCAGAAACTTCCATCCTGCATGGAAAGGGAAATGGGTGCTCTGTGCACCAAATGGGTGCTCTGCGACTGTGAACCCAACGGCGAGTGGTAGAAGGCGCTGGTCGGCCACGTGGACAGACGGGGTTGGGGGAGGCTGGTGGAAGCGATCACGTGTCGTGCCTCCCTCCCTCCCTCCCGCCTTCCTCCCCCGTCCCTATTATCCCAGCCCGCTTGGAACCCCTTTCCTGTGAGCAAAATGGCATGTATCTCCTTCTTCTCACGTGAAAATGCACCCATGGTGGGACTTCCAGAGATATTTTTTGCTTTCAGCAGAAAACGCATGGAGGTAAAAGCTGAAGTAGTCATGTGCTCCTGATTTTGTTCCTACATGGACATCGTCTAGTTAAGGCTCGGACTTAGTTCTGGTTTCAGGAATCCAGGCAAGAGAGTGGAAGGATGGGGGTGCTTGGGGTTTGGGGCTGCCCAAGCCTCCAAGTCAGCGGCCCACGTAGGAGGGTGCTGACACTGGGGCGGGGGTGTGGGGGGGGGCTGCATGGACAGCCTCTGTTGGTCATGCTGGTGCAAGCCGGGCAGCGAGCACGACCCGCCTTCTGGCCCCACAGATCTTGTTCACACCTGTGTACAAGCACCAAAGTATTTCCCTGTGATTTTTTCTTCTCGTCATAAAAAGCCTGCATTTTCGGTGATATCTTTTATTGATTTGCCAGTCAGTTGATGACTTCGCTTGGCTTTCCCAGAAAATATATCTTGAGGCAAAATGTAAGTGCTGCTGCATTAGGAGGGTAACACCGATGACGAAAATAAGAGCGAAGGAGGAGGGAAGAGGGGTGTGGAAGTTGAGGAAACAGAAGCCCCCTCGGCATTTCAGGACGTTGCTCAGAGGCAGTCAAGGGAGAATCATTGTCCACCTCCTCCCGCCTCCCATTTGTTTAACGTCCACATCATGGGTGGCTAAGTCTCCTGCAGTTTCAGATTGCACATGTGTGGGTACCCAGCAGGTGCGGTGGCACCTTGGAGCTCAGGGTCACCTGGGAAGCCTGCAGGTGGGAAATGACAGACAGGTGGCTCAGGCACTGGATGAGGGCATGGGCTCGCTCCCCCGTAAGACTGACCAGAGCCTTTGTGCTGACCCAGCCACTGGCATAACATCTAGGTCACACCCTGGCAGGGTGGCTCAGTTGGGTAGAGTGTCCTCCCCTGCAGCAAAGGTTGTGGGTTCGATCCCTGGTCAGGGCACATACCTAGGTATGTGCGGGATCACACGGGAGGAAACTCATGGGTGTTTCCCTTTACATGTCTCTCTCTCTCTCCTTCTCTCTCTCGTCAACCAAAAAGACATATCCTTGGGGGAGGATAAAAAAAAATAAAATAAAATATAAGGCCAACAGCCTCAGGCCAGTTGAAACCTAGATTTCCTGTGGTGCATGGGTGGACAGTAATGGCATCTGTGATGCGGTTTTCCGAATCGTGTTCTCATCGCTCACTGGGTACAGCTGTGACCCCAGCAGAGCGCTCCCCTAAAAGAGGCACACAGGAGTAGAAGAAACAGAAACGTGAATGTGGGCGGGAAGGAATGATAACCCAAATTTCCTTTTCCCGGTAATTCCATCCCGCGGAACAGGGCGCAGAATACAACCCAGCTATAAACAGACTTTTCCAGAAATCGACCCCGAGAGCTATTTTTATCTCTGAACCTATCAGCCTTGCAGTTTCTGTGGTCACATTTTCTGTTCCAAAAATCAAATTGATGATTTTAAAAGGCAGTGATACTTAAAATGAATGCACAGAAACATGCCGGCTTGAGAATAAGGGTCTAGGTTGAAGCCACGTCAAGTCTGGACAAGCAGAACAGAACACAGGGAAGGAGTTATCTGTTATTCACCGCTCAGAGAGGACGGGAATGGCCCGTGGAAGCCCACTGAGCACGAAGTGAACCCGATTTGTGGGGGGTGTTCGGTGGACCATACGCGCGACTGCGTAACCGTCTCCCCCACTACGAGAAATCTGAGGCGCAAGGAAACTTTCCCGAGAATCGTTCACCGAAGAAAAACAGAACTCACGGCCGCAGGACAGAAGACAGACACCCTGAGGGACACAGCGGGGACACTCAGGACGGGGCGGGCTGTGGTGGACCTCGGCCTGTTTGTCGGCCAAGGTGCCAGGGGTCTTTTAATGAGAACCGCAGGGTGCGGGCGGGTCCCAGGGTAGGCGAGCTGCCGCGCCTCGTTTAAGGACCACGGACAGCTCCAGGCCGCGGCGGAACGGGCGCGTTCTTCTCCCGACGCTGGAACGGCAGCCCCGCGACTCCACGTCCGGGGGGACCTGAGCTCACTGATAGCACAGTGCACACCATCAGGACTTTCTCGGCCGTGCACACACATGCGTATATGTGAGCACGGGGCGGGGGGGGGGCGACCAGAGGAAATGTTCGGGGTGATGGCGAGAAAACCCGGGTTTTAAAATGGTGTTCTAGTGCATAAATAATTAATTGGGCCGCCATGCTAGGGGCTGGATGATGGGTCAGGCGGGAAAGCCCGTGGGTGGGGGCAGGGGCGGGGATCCCCGCTTCGGCGCTGAATTCTCCGTGACTGGGGGGGCGGGGAGCGCGGATCCCACCCAGCTGAGGTCGGAGGAGCAGCGCCATGTGCTCCGGGCTCCCGGCTCTCCTGCTGCCCGTCTGGCTCTGCTGGACCCTGGGGACCCATGGCTCTGAGCCCCGCAGGTGAGGTGGGGGCTTCCCCGGGGCCCCCCGCAGCCTCTTTCCCGACGCCGCAGCGCGCAGTGCCGCGGACAGAGGCACCCACTCCGCCGCGGCCCTGGGCTGTCGCTGCGCCGCCGCCGGGCGGGGGTCGCCCTGCGCGGGTCGGGGTCCCGGAGGGAGTGGGGAAAGCAGATAGCGTGCCCCTCGCCCCGGCTGCCCGAGTGGCCCGGTCGCAGGGAGCCCAGAGGAGAGGGCATCGCGGCCGACTCCCGGCCCTGTGGCTCGCCGCGCAGCCGCGGCTCCTCCGGCTGCTCCGGCAGGGCTCCAGGTCCCGCTTCGCAGCCCCCGGGGCCGGAGGGAGCGCCGAGGTCCAGGGCCACGCGCCGCCACGGCCGGAGCGCGGGGAGGGCCAGGCGCGCGGGGCAGCCGGCTCCGCCTCGGGCTCGCCCGGCCCCCTCCCCTCCCCCCGCTCCTGCGCCCGCGCTCCTCCCTCCCCGCTCCTCCCGCCTCCCTCCCCTCCCCCTCCGCCCTCCTCCGCTCGGGGCCAGCGCGGCGGCGGCGGCGGCGGCGGCAGCAGGAGCAGCCCCGGCTGCGGGTCGCGACGGCGGCGGGGCGCCCCCTCCCCCGTGCCGGGGCGCGGCGGAGGGATGTGGGGCTTTGCGGGAGGAAGGCTTTTCGGCTTCTTCTCGGCCCCGGTGCTGGTGGCGGTGGTGTGCTGCGCCCAGAGGTAGGGTGGTGGTGGGTTGCCGGGAAGCGGGCCGGGAGCGGGCAGGGCGCGCGGGGGTGCGCGCCGGGCGCCGGCGGGCGAGCCGCCGCCTGACCCCGCTTTCTGCGACCCTCTCCCCCTCCCCCAGCGTGAACGATCCCGGGAACATGTCCTTTGTGAAGGAGACGGTGGACAAGCTGTTGAAAGGCTATGACATTCGCCTGAGACCCGACTTCGGGGGTGAGTGGGGTGTGCGCGGCCGCTGCGGGCAGCTCGAACCCCGGCGCTGGTGGCCTGGGTGGAGGAGGGAGGCGGGGTCCGCTTCCGCCGAGCTTTGGCGAGTGGAGTGGGGGGCACTTCTCCTGCGCCCCCTCCTCGGAGAGCCCCCGCATCCTGAGAGCCACCCGCACCCCGTGCCCGCGCCTGACTGACCACTGTGTCGTGCGCTTCCCGCAGGTCCCCCGGTCTGCGTGGGTATGAACATCGACATCGCCAGCATAGACATGGTTTCCGAAGTCAACATGGTGAGTGCCCGCCCTCCCCAGGGCTGTTCCTGAGCCCCTGACTTGCTCTCTGGGCCCAAGGCGTCCACGGTGCTGGGCCAGAGGCCTTCTCCGCCGCGCCGAGCTTCCCGGCCGCAGAGGGAGCGGCGCGCTGGGGCGCCGGCCTCCTGCTCCCGCGGCTCCCTCCACCCGCCCGGTGCGCGCGGGGGGCGTCGTGGGCGTCGCGGCCCTGCGGAGGGCGCACCTTTACTGAGGAAGGAAGGGGTCCTGGGCTGGCCTAGCGCTCGGCTGGCACCGCCGCCTGGTGCTGCCGGATCCTCTTGCGCGCTGTCACTGGTCCCCAGGCCTCGGAGTGCGAGCGCAGAGTGCCGTCTGCATCCTTAGCAACAGGCGCTGGGAGCCAGGAGACTGGGAGCTGCGGGGGTGGGTCGGATTCGAGGTGAGGGGTCGTGCAGGTTCCTTTGTCGCCTTTTGGAAAGAGGTGCTGGCAGCTGGAGAGGACGAGGTGGGTGGTCTGTCTGTGTTTCCCGGGATGTGTCGGGCCAGTTTCCTGGGTCTCGGTGGCCTTTCGGACGGCGGCTTCCTGGGCGCTGGAACCCAGGGCCGCGCTCCGCTAGGACCTGTCGGAGGTGCGGACCGCCGGGTGGCCCTGAGAACCGGTGGCCAAGGCTAGTGAGCCGGTCCCTGAGAGCTGGTAGTGCTGGTGAGGCTTCCTATTCTGAGCTGCAGAAAGCGGAGGTCCCCGTCCCAGGATGCGGAGGGGGTGTCCACGCTTCTGCTCAGCACGACGGGGAACGTGGGGCAAAGTGACCCCTTTCACTGGCTCATTGAACTGAAGTAGCATGCGACTGGGAACCAGGTTTAATTTGCTGTTGAGCGGACACCAGAAACGGCGAAAATGAGCGTTCGGAAACCATGTATTTTTGGACGAAATCACTTGGCAACTTGTCATGGGAACATAGATTGAGATTCTAATGAGACCTGGTTTCAGACGCGGTAGGTTTGGGGTTTGGTGCGCCCCAGTCACGTGGGCGAACCAACTTGTTTAAACGCGAGCTCCCGGATTCGCCCTGGGAGGTAACTGGGACCCGCCGCGCTGGAGGGGAACCTTGCATTCAAGACTAACGCTTCAGGTGATTTTGAAGCAGGTAGTTTGTGGACAGCATGTCGAGAAACACTGCGATACATTATAGAAATACAAGCATTTACAAATACGCTAAAACTAGTATTTAAATAATGTGTTTAGCAAGATAGATGTTAATCTATATATACCACTGTGGATTTTGTAGGAAGAAATCTTTCACCACACAAAACCATTTTTTAATCATTTTTTCACTCGGCACTTAAATATTGTAAAATTATAATGTATTTTTAAAAACACAGTACCTTTCTTTCACTTAGGATATTCATGTAAAAGGCATTATAATAATAAAAGTGGTACAGTGAAGCAGAGGGAATATGACTTTCTATACGTTACATTAAAATTAACATGTATAGTTTACCTTTTTGTAATTCGGTAAAAATAATTCTGTCCAGAAGGTATACTTTGTGATCTCAAACAAAAAAAAAAAAAGAAAGAAAAAGAAAAAGAAACCAAACAAGCTACGTATTTAAGATCTACCCTGTCATCTATGATTTTCTTCCCCGGGGTCTTCACATTCTCTTAGAGAAGACATTTTTTATGGAAGCTAATTGAATGGTTAGTGGGTTATTGCCCAAAGTATTACAGTGGGTGGCAAATTAAAGAAAATGTATTGATGTGGTGCTTTAAGAATTCGACACAACACGGTGTTGGCCCCGACCACGGAATGCTTTCTTTGACTTTCATTTTTAAGCCTAGTTACCTCATGGTTCTGGAATCCTGCGTGGGTAGCTGGTACCTTTGAAAAGTTCATCAGTAGTTGCCTGCTTGATGGATTATGCTTTGAGGTGTCTCCGTTTCCTCTGGACCCAATAATAGAAAGACGCATTGAAGATACGAGCCAATATACTGAATAATTTTTCATTTAAGTGCATGTCGCAAAGCCAATAAATACGCGTGGTATATATATATATATATATATATATATACCAGCATGCTCCTGAATGCTTTTGTTATTTTTTGGCATTCCCGTGATGGTAATTTTTGTGGCCGTTCTAAACATAAATTTATTGTTAACAAAAAATGGGGATGGTTAGGGTTGGAGGTCAAAGGTTATAGGTCAGAGGTGACTGATTGGCACGTGAAATACCTTCTACAAATGGATTGGTTAACATCACGTGCTACAAAAATTGGATTTCCCTGATCATATTTGCTGTGATATTTGACTTATGATGATAGTTTTTATATTTTCTGGGGAGAGCACAGAGAGTATGTGAGTAAAAGATTAGAGTCATCACTTAATCATCTTATATAAAAACAATAAATTCTACTTATGAGCTCTCTTTTTTTTAAGATTTTATTTATTTATTTTTTAGAGAGGGAAGGGAGAAAGAGAGAGAGAGAGAGAGAAACGTCAATGTGTGGTTGCTGGGGGCTGTGGCCTATAACCCAGGCATGTGCCCTGACTGGGAATCGAACCTGCGATGCTTTGGTTTGCAGCCCACATGCTCAGTCCACTGAGCTACGCCAGCCAGGGCATGAGCTCTCTTAATCACCTTTCTAGTTAACAAAAAACCAACATGTTGTTCAGTTGTGGAACTCAAGAAATGGTCTGGCTTTAAGGGCATTGTGGCTATTAGAGGAGATTTGTCAGGTGGTTGTAAGAAAAAGTAGGATGCGATAAGCCCCATTAGAAGAACAAAAGAAAGGAGCATACAGAAGAGAGCAGGGAGAGTGGTGGGAGGAGAGACAGGAAGGGGGGTTGATCAAGATTACTTTTTAAAAAAGATTTTATTTTATTTTTAGACAGAGGGGAAAGGAGGAAGAGAGAGAGACACACACATTAGTGTGTGGCTGCCTCTCACACGCCCCCTACTGGGGACCTGGCCCACAACCCAGGTTTATGCCCGCACTGGGAATCGAACCCATGACCCTTTGGTTCACAGGCTAGTGCTCAGTCCACTGAGCCACACCAGCCAGAGTGATTGAAATCACTTTTGACACAGAAAGCTTCATGAAGGAAATTCTATCTCAGCTGGGTAAGTGAGTAGGGAAAGGATTGTGACTTTTGCAGATGGAGGCGGCTGGTCTGGGGCAGGGAAGAAATGTCAAGGGTCTGGGTGAAAGGGTAGGAAATGGCAAAGGGAGTTTGGAAGATGGAATTGAAGGGTAGGACCCACCCCTGTTCCCCTAGACCCTTCTCTGCCATGCCAAGGATCGAAGATGCTAATTTTCAAGACATAAGGAAGCTGTACATTTTGTAACGTGATTGACATGATTTGTGATGTGCTTTAAGATGGGTATTTTGGCTAACATGTAAGTGGGGACAGAGGAATATGGTCAGTGGGGTAGAGAGAGCCATCTGCCAGGAAATGAAGGGTCGTGGAAGCTCCTTCCTTGAAATTTTCTCCTCAGCTTTTCACCATCTATATTTCTGAAAGCATATGTTTAGTGAAGTCAATAAAAATTCACTGATGTTTGAAATAAGCATGAGTGAAACGTGTGTCCCAAGAGGGGACACACAGGTGCCGTACAGGAGCTTGGGGACTTGGAAGAGGAATAGTGGATACTGCTAATACCGTCACTTTGGAAGAAATTATAAAGCACAATCTTTGTAAAAAAGTTTTAATTATTTTTAAATATTTTATTTATTTATCTTTAGAGGGAAAGGGAAGGAGAGAGGGAGAGAAATATCAATGTGCGGTTGCCTTTCGTGCATTCCCTGCTGGAGACTGGTCTGCAACCCAGGCATGTGCCCTGACTGGGAATCGAACCGCAATCCTTTGGTTTGCAGGCCCACGCTCAATCCACTGAGCTACACTAGCCAGGGTGTTTAATTATCTTTTAGAGAGAGAGGAAGGGAGGGAGGAAGAGAGGGAGAGACATATCGATGAGCCCTTTATATGTGCCCTGACTGGGGACTGAATCTACAACCAGCCATGTGCCCTGAGCAGGAATCGAACCAGCGACCTTTCACTCTGCAGGACAACAGCCAACCCTCTGAACATGTAAAGCACAACCTTTGTCTGCTGGTAGTACCTACAGGCAATGCCCGCAAAGAAAGCCTTCGATTGCAGATGAACAAATAAACACGTTGTGCATCGACACGTAGGTATGATCACACATTTTGGCATTTTGTAGAAATAATCTTGGAATGGACTTCAAGACTCGAATATTTAACATTCTTTTGCATTGTGCCTTGTTTCATGGATCATGGAGCTAGTCGTTTCATTTTTCCTAATTTTTCAATCTTTTTTTCATGACCCCCCCTTTTCATTGGTTGACTTGACAACAAAGACTGTTTTTTGACAGAATTTTCCTTGTGTTTCTGAGCCCTTGTTTGAAGATTTCAGGTAATCTTATCCAGTTATGCATACTTAAGCAATTATTGAGGTACTGAGAGTTAGTCTACACACTTCTTTAAGTGAGTGTTTATATGTGAATAAACACTGTTTACCGGAAATATTTTATATGCACGTGTTATAATTCTGGCGCTTAGCGTAGGTCCTGCTGTGAAAGGAGCGCGTTGACTAGGAGATGGAGAAATGAATAAATGGGGGGAGACTATGGAAAGTATAGAAAACATAAGGAAATATTCAAAATATAAAGCAATATGAATTCTAATGTGAAAATGCTATTTTTGCTGAGAAACAATAAAGTAGTGCTGCAATTCTTTAAAAATACATAAAAAATAGAAACAGCATTTTAAGTAGGCATAGGAGTTTTTTAAATTTGAATTATTAGAATAAACCATTGTGTGATTTGCTGATTCAGAGCAGAGGCTACACGTATTTCATTTTTATTTACATGACTAAGATATTGAGGGTATAAAACTAGATTCAAACTCTGCTCATAGTCCTATGAGTTTATGTGACCTAACTTACACTTTGTTATTACTTTAAACTTAGCTAGTCCATTAAAATTAACTCAGTCTTAATAA